ATCGAGAACGCGAAGATATTGAAATAGAAGTTGCGGTAGACAACGGTGGAGAGTTACTTCCGATATTTATGATATTTGTAGTGTAATTTATTAATATATTTTATTTATAACATTATTTTTGCGTTAAATTGAAAATTTTTATTTTTAATTTTTTTTCCAATTTTCAAAAAAAGATAATCCTTTTAAGAATCACTTTTTTTAAAAAAGAATTCTTTTAAAGAATCCCTATTTTTTTATTTTTTTAAGAATATATATTCACAATCATGTGACCAATCCCATGAATAAAAAATAAAAAACAAATTTCATCGTCATTTTAATTATATTATTAAAGATAGATTATGACCCTTGTTAAAGCATAATAAGTATAATAAGTATAATAAATATAATAGTTGCAATATATTTGCAATATAATTAATATAATTGCAATATAATATAGTTTGTGAAAAAACAAATGATCTGACAATCTAGCGAAAACGGAAAGTATAACAAAATCCGATGACTTATACTTGACAAAGTCGATCTTATTATATGTTTTAATTGTTTTTTTTTGTAAAGTATGACATGCAATTATAAAAAAATTTATGAATATATGAATTCATGAATATATGAATTCATGAATTTATGAATTCATGAATCTATGATTACAATAATTCACTGTGATCGAATCAACAATTAAAAAATTATTAACACAATTTATTAACACAATTATTAACACAATTATTAACCAAAGATAACTTTAATTTAATTCAAAAGACGGGCATTTATTGATGCCCCAATATAAATATTACAGGCTTGGCATATAATTAAATGCTATGTGATATTCTTTTTGTACTAGTGTGATGTGATGTAAGATGAAAGATAATTTCAAATATGGACATATAAAGAAATAAATAGACACAAATAAATCTATATAAACATTACTCTAAAAAAATTTAATAAATACTTGTTATTTAAACTTCTAACTTATACATCACTTATACTCTAAAACCTCCACATAAATTTGCATATTATTATAATATATAATAAATCATTACCTTTTTCCATTGCGGTACTCTAAAATCATGTAATTTTTTTTTTTAAAGTATTGTATTTCTGCTTATCGTTATTGATGCGTAATACCTGTATTAGATAAATAAACAAATATAAACTCAGTTACTATAAAATTTACAGTTGTCAGCCATGAACTTTTGATGCATTCCGATTCCCGACTTTTTCAGTTTTTTTTTCTCTCGCTCTGAAATATCAACTGTCGCCTCTTTTTTTTTTTCTTTTTATTTTTTCTTATTATTCTTATTCCGTGTGTAGGGAGCCATCTTTTCTATTTTTTTGGTTATTCATACATGTCATGAGCGTCTTCGACACGAAACACCGGCTCTCCCTTTGAATCGATTTTTGTCTGGAAATTTTTTTAAATATTTAAAAATTTTATTTTCATTCTCGGCATTTCATCTTTATCAAAAAATTTTTACTTATTTTTGAAGACTGCATGTAAAAGAACCTTTATGTCAAAGTTTTCAAGTATTTTAATATTTTAATAATCAATACATGTCGCGGTACCTTAATAGTGGTAACGCTTCTCAACAACAGTCTTATCAACAGTCTTATCAACAGTCTTATTCTATACCACCTATAAATATCATAAATATCGGAAGTAACTCTCCACCGTTGTCTACCGCAACTTCTATTTCAATATCTTCGCGTTCTCGAT